CCTAAACACACAGTCAGGCACTCTCGGTCCTGCCTGGACACAGTCAACATCAGATCTGGCTTTGACAGTGGCCACTGCTACCTGAGACAGCAATGCAGGGTACTGTGCACAATAAGTCCTTCCCACTGATTCCTTCTGTCTTTTACCAATAACGTGGGATTCGATCTATAAATAATAGTGCATTAAGCACGACCACAGCTTATCCACCAAAAGCCTTTTAATACCCAATACGTTTCCTTTGTACCAGGATTCCAACCCGTGACCTCTGGTAGAAAAGAGCAGTGTGGTACCCATTATACCACGATCGCAATATTTCAGGTAAATTATGATTGAGGTTAAGGCACAAGTTAGGGATACGGTTTGCGTTAAGCCAGGGCTAGAAGAAGTGGTAAGTCACAGAAGCATTTACTCTGTATTTATCGCATGACCACCTGTATAATGGACGGTGTTCCCATAGCCGCAGCCTGACTAAATGCTGGAATGACTTTAGTAAATCTAGCCATTTTCGGGTTCCTGTGTAAGTAACATGGATGTTAGATTACACTGAGCTTGTTAACAGTTGCTTAAACAACTCTGCTTTTCAAATAAGCGTTTGTTTGGAACCCGTCTCTCAAAGTAATTACGTGCTGTCAACAGTTTGCATGGTGTACTGAATTTCTTGTCTCCCTCCCCCCCGCTCTCGGGTGCACTTCCGTTTTCCCTTTTCCACTGTCTTGCAGTTTGCTTCCGGATATCACCGACGTTAACATCCTCCTTTGGCTTGTGAAGTCTACCGCTGTCTCTGAAGAGCGCACGCCCACATCTGCCGCTTCCTTCAGCGAACGCAGTCTCCGACGCGCCAGTCTGGCTCGGATGGATGATTATGACAGCACTGCTCACCACCACCTGCAGTCTGGGCTGGATACGCACTGCATCTCCATCACTCATTCGGATTCCTGGGCCTCTGTCCTAACGGATGCCTCCTATTCCTCGCTGGAGCCAGGTGCCTCAAAAAACCCGCC